TATAATATAATATAATACAATATAGCATAATATAATAAAAAAGTATAACTTATCACACGATTAACTAGGTTTTGAAGCTAAAGATAAACTGGACTGTAGACTCTGCCTACGTACTTTCAGATATAGTACCTTAATGGGATAATTTTATGTATTATTCTATATTATTCAGTATCCTAATGTATAGTTGTTTGTGACTATATTAGCTGCTGTAACGTAAAGATTCGGAAGCAGTTATGTGTTGAGGTGAGACGCGACAAATTCGATGTTCAGCCGAGTGTGAAGTTTACGTTGAACCAGGAAACCAGGAAGTATTTTGCTCCCACGTTATGTGAGAGAACTTGCTACGATTGTGTTGGAAGAAAAACATAGAAGATTCTCCCACTGTGGGAAAATATTATGTATTACATTACATTATTAGGTATTATAATGTGTGAATACCCAAGTTGTAGCCAACAACAAAAGAGGCTCAATTTAAACGAACCGCGGGCGTTCTTGTTATTGAAATTTGATAATATTTCTATGAAAACGTTTTACTGGTAGAAGCTGTAGGTCGTGGACGAAATTCTGCATGCTCACTATATATTCACATGCAAAAAAATCGTTTTTAGGAAAAACAGGACGGGGTGAACTGATAGAATTATCTTAATCTTTGCATTTTTCGATGAATTGACACAATAATGCTCTGCTACAAACTGTTCCTGTAGTCAGAAGATATGAAAAGATTCTAGTGTTTTTTTCAAGTTTTTGTTTCGTACTTGGAAGACTTGGTCTGGTCATGTTCTTGTAAGCCAGGATCATTTTTTGCGAATTGCTGAAGTCAAGGGCAAGCGGTAGTACTGCAGTAGGTTCTTGCAGCATTATGTAGGGTTCACTAGAACCGATGGTAAGAACATTTTGGAGATTCGCGACCAATGAATGAATGAATGAATGAATGAACAGGGAAAGAAGCCGTATAAGAGAATGAGGGGTAGAATCCATCCATTAGAATCCATTATAATCCCCTTATACGCAGATAATCGCTAATAAGTAATCTCTTGTAACGTTTTTTATTCAGGCTTATGTATGTTTTTCACTTTCCGCTCGTTTATCGTCCCTTTCCATTTTTTCCGTCCCTTCTTGGCAAGTTTTTTCCCGCATAGGCGTGGGCTGGATAATATTTATTATAGTAAGAAAAAAATCCTTTCGTCATGGCTTATCCTCTGGCCATCGCTCCTTTCATCAAAGTACACTCTCGTAAACGAAGTTGGTGATGGGCCCTGACGTCCTCAGCAAGCTGCTCGTTTTCCCTGAATAACAGGGGGTTAATGAACCACAATAAAGAGTTGACTGAGGCATCGAGTACTGTTTCAGGCAGCACGCAGGTGTTCGAAAAAGCCGGTCCAGCGTCGACGTCACACTTTGGGTGTGGGTGGGGAATTCCGGGGTTGTATTCTTCAAGCTCCTCGCTGCATACGAATGCTCTGGGACCATTCTACAGAGCTCGGCAAAAGTTCTGGCAATGGTAAATATGATCGTAAAAACGGTCAAATCGATCAATACATGATACTACTGCAACAGCATTTATCAACAGCTACACAGATCACAAAAGCAGACTAGATCTCGAAGTGCCTCCTTTTGCGCGAATACAGGCTAAAAATCTCCTAGGAAAGACGTCGACGGCGGCATGGAGGTAGTCTTCGCTTGAATCCTCCCATGCTTCAACGGGGTTGCACGTAGAGCATCCAAACTTCTATGCTTAGTAGAGCAGGCTTTCGTTTTAAGAACTGGCCACACGGAATAGTGCAATGGATTTGGGCCTGAACCGTTTGGGAGCCAATCGTCCGACGAGATGAAGTCTGGGAAGTGCGTTGCGCACCAGTTCTGTACCACTTTTGACCTGTGTGCTGGAGCTGAGTCCTGGTGATAAGTCCATGTCCGGTTGCCAAAATGGGATTTTCCTCAGAAGAGTTCCTCCTTCTCCAACACGCCTTTTAAGTAGGTCCTGCTATCCACCTTGACCCCTTTCTCCAGTAAAATCAGGGGCATCTTGCCGTCCGATGTGATCGCCCCAAAAACTCGCCTAGTTTTCTTCATACGCTCAGTCAGCATATAAGCTCTTCTGATCTTATAAGGGCGAAGTCGAAGGTGGCTGGTGACGATCCTTCCAACAGATCAGGCAGAAATACCCAACTCAAAAGCCATTTTTTCTCGGACCTACGAGGGTGGCGGCGGATTTTCTCTCGAATGACCTTCACGATCTCCTTTGACGTTGCACTCTTCAGTATCAACTTTTGGGCTTGTCCTCCGTAGTTTCTGTCGTCTTGAACCTGCTGACGTTGTTTTCAATAGTTCTTAAGGGCATTTGGAGCTGTTTAAAGATGGTCTTTGCCTTGCATCCAGCCAGATGAAGGTGCAGGATTTAGGCTTTTTGGCCTATGCTTGTCACCATTCTGTAAAATGGCATATTCCAGAACGGCCCATTCATGAAATGTATAGAAGAGCACATGCAGTAAATAGTGGCACTGATCCCGTCGAGATTGAAGGCCTTTTTGTATAGAGAACGTGAGACGGCCTTTGCCAGAACTTTTGCTGCACCCTGTAGAGCGAAGTCAAGTGGCATAAGGAGGGTACGAGAACAGTAGGATGTAAATCAACCCGATCGGTTTATATTACATTGGCTCCTCTAGTAGTGCTGAGTTCAGAGGATTTCTCAAAACAGAGTAGAATCAGTTCCCCTTAAAAGTACAAGTTGAGCGCTCGTGAAGAAAACTCGTCCAGTAACAAGGTAGCCCTGTTCTTTCTCTATCGCTGGGATTTTTGATTCTGTTGCCTAGTGTGGGTATTCCAGACGAATCGTGTCGCTAGAAATGCTTCTTTCATATTTTCTTCTGTAAATGCTTTTTCGATCAATATCGATCGATACGGTTCCTTCAACTGGTCTGAAAATTTCTATTGCGATATCGCTGTGTCCAAAATTATATAGATGAAGGTAATTTTTATCGTATACGATAATATAGTATGTGATAAAGTTTACAATCGTTGTCGACAAAAATAGACCACATAAGCCTATCGACTTGATAGTGATCAATAATCGATTTATTTTGCCCAATCAGCTTTCGCTTTATCCTTGCCTTCCTGAAAATACTAACTTTTTAGCGCAATCAAAAATTCTAGATAATTATGAATGATTATTAAATATTGATTACCATTATACTAATTTAGTCGTTAGTAATTCACTTATCATTTTTGAAATAATCGAACTTTTCCTTGACCGTCTACTGTATTGTACGTATCCATCGGTTGACTAGTTGGCTTTGGGATCCTTTACTTCACCGGGATTTCACATTAACTGTACTGATTGACCCCTCCGCCTAATTATTGGTAGGTAAGATCAATCAAATGCATTTTGTTGTAGTGGATTTATTAGGTGTAGAGGAAAGCGCTGAGGATAGCCCAAATCGCCTTTGGTTCACGTCACAGAGAGATGAAAATTTCTATAAGCGCCTTTATTCTGCGCTCCACCATCGCAGCGGTACTGATTTCATGCGCGCATTACTAATATTTAATCGAAGCAACGATCGATATTAGGCGCGTAAAAATCGATACCCATTCTTTGCCTTGATGCGGCAAAGAGGCACTAGCTTCAAAACTGCCTAAGGTTTGTAGGGGCTAATAATTGGACAGAAGTACTGGAATCGATCTCATCACTGCTTGGACCCGTCGAGGTAGCGACATTTGCTGTTTGGAATTAGCTTTACAACTCTTTGATATTTGACTAATTTTGATTTCCAGTATTTTTTTACCTCATCCATAGCGAACTGGTTTTTGTCGACCTGCTTCAGATTGGAACGGAAGTCAACCTTAGCAGCTTCTTTCTTCTTCAGTTTATCGAATTTGCCCTCGGTCTTTGATACCTTCTTCAATGTCGGTTTCACGCTGAAATTGATTTCGAAATGTTTTTTTTTAAATATATCCTAAAATTACTGGGAATTGAGTACAATTTTCCACGAAGATCGTTCACGGCAATAGTAAGCTCGTTGATTTCGAAGTCTTTCTGTCGTACTATGTAAGAGACATCGTAGTTCTCACTTTCCAAAGCAATCAGGCGATCGCGCATTTGATTATAGACCTCTTCCAGATCATCTGAAAGCAAAATTACAAGAAAATTTCGTAGTTAAGGTATTTTCGCTCGTAAAAAAAGATTCTTTCTTGAAGTTGTTTACTTATTCCACGAAACATGAAAACGGGCAAGGTGGGCTGAAGAAAACTGTAAAAGCGAAATTCACTGCTGAAAAGAATACAGCGATCTGAGTCCGTCACCAAAAAAAGAAACAAATTATCGGAGCTATTTTGAATTAATGAATTAATACCGTAACCACACTACTGCTACATACCACGGTGTCCACCGGAAGTAATCCTGAATTCACATAATTTTTGAATTTCCGAAATACCGCCCTGAAGACGTGAGTTCAATGGTCTATTCATAGCGGGAAAACCCTGGTTCAGAGCGCAATTGTAAAAAAATTTAAAGAACAAGCTTTTGTTTCTCGCGTGAATTCGAAATTGCTCAGGGTGGGTGCTTTACTTCTACCCCTATTATTGCTGAACTTTAAGGCATTTATTTCACACAATATTTCCAGCAATAGTATTATAGAGCAATAAATAAAGTTACTATACAAATTTTGTTCTTCTATCAGTTCGATTTCTTTCCGCATTTTGCAAATGTTCCAGTAGAACCCCACAGCTAATCAAATTGCTAGAAATCCTGTAGCTAGCTGGATGTGAGAAGGTCGTGAGCGGGGGACTCTAGCAGAGATCGAGCCTTGTGATTATAAGGCGAAAACTCCAAGATAGGAATTGTCTTAAGATTAGTGTGGGAAGAAGCTCCTTGAAATGTAACTTACTGTTTCTTAATTAAGAAGGAAAAATCTCGATTGACATCCATCTTCGAAATTCGGAATTCAGAACACCCACGTCTATCAATCGCTCGATAGTTTTCTTACGATTCTACAGATTCAGTACGAAGGAAGCAGCAGTACAAACCGCATTCATCGAGATCCGGCAACGGAATAATTCGTTCCTGAAGCACACGCTGTCGTTCTTGTTCCTTGAGCATTTGCTGTTGTTTCAAATCTTCTGCAGCTTTCATCATCAGAAGTTTCTGGAATTATCTTCTATTTGTACCCAATAGGTACACTTTCTATGGCTATTCTATATAAGACTGGGTAGATTCGCTACAAAATGTGTCATTAGGTTCGGTTTTCACCGTGTAAACGTGTCGCTTGACATGGCATGACATGGACGGCTCACACATGTAAATTTGGGCATTCCAAAGGTAATGTAATGGAGTGTAAGGCGACGAACGCACGAGATCCTCTCAACATGTGTAACTGCCGATTCAACGCTTTCCTTCGCAGTGTATTGGGTTTCCAAAATCGGACCTAATGACAGCCAGCTCAAAATGCCTGTCCGTTCTGACCTAGTGGCTGCTGAATATTCGGTTTAATCTTTAAAGGGTTATTACCGTGCTTATCCCCTCGAGTTGATTCCGATCTATAGGTCTCAACTAGAAAACCCGGGCAACTTACCCTGAGTTTCTTCTTTCGTTCAGGTGTCAAGAAGCCTTTCTTGGCTTTCTTGGCCCTGCTGGCCTCCTCGAGACGCTTACGCACCTCTTCCTTCTTACGCTCGCGTTCCGCCACCTTTCTAGCCTAAAATTGAAATGAGATTAACTTTATGAGGCAATATTTTGGTAATAACTTAAGCAGGTGTTACCCAAAAACCCAACCAATTGGGGCTGTAGTTATGCCTTGTAGCAAAAAAAGGTATTCGGGTTGAACTGAAATAACTCAAGAAGAACTGAAGGTACATTGTGGACTGACTTACCTCAGCTGGAGTAACAACAGAGTCATCCTAGAATTGGCATTAGAACAAACACCCGTTTACAACATGAAATTCCTTCAGTTCGTTGCAGGTTCTTGAGTAATGAAGCTTGTAAGTTTCTTTGTTAATTCAGAATGCAGATTGTTTCATATTTTTTAGAAAGCCAAGTTTTTGACACCAACAACTTGCGGGTAGTTTTATTCAAACTCAAATGTAAATGTAGCGAATGATGCCGATACAAGACTCGGATTTTCAACAGATCGAATCCCCTTGAGCTGTTCAAACATTCCATCCGTTTGAGGTTGGCTAACTGGAGTTAACCCTGCTTGTGCCAATTTTTCTATTACGTACCCTGCCCATGCCGTTGCATGAGCTGAAAGGGAAGAGGGCTCCCAGGCTCCCCTTCTTGACAGTAAACTGTTTTCGCATGAATCAATTGACAGCAATTAATTTATATTGATTGTCTTCCAATCATAATAACTATTGTATCGATCCCAACACTAAGCTTTATATAATAGCGTCATCCGGGCTTCGAAATCCAGTTCGTTAGCTTTGGAGCATTTGAGCAAACACAAAAATCCCCCGCTCTCATCCTGGTGAGGGGAACTGACGCAAAATCGCTGCTCGCCATACCGATTACTGTCGTAAGAGTGAGACCGCCGTCTTAAAAAATCATAGCATTAATGGTAAAAAATGCTCAAAGTAAACAAATATGTCTGGTTGAACCTTGCGATTATTTTTTGGCAGGAATCATTGAACTACTTGGTTCTCCTTCACTTTCCTACAGTTTGGTATAGACCTTCGGTGTTGCGGTACTGTTGACACTAGTGACAAGTACTATGTAGCTTTCAGGCCCTTGGGAGAATTGAACCAGCAAGCAACGAGCGACCTTTGACTCTAGCGCTAGAAAAAACGCTTCCAACGGGTAAAATTCACCTTCACTCGAAGAATTTTCAACCTTTGGAGTAAAATACCTTTTTGTGAGGATTTTTTGTAATTCAATTTTATCTGGAGATATCCAAAAAATATCTGTTAATCAGTGACATAATAGTTTAAATAATGATAATAATAAAAAATCAATGACAAAATTAATAATAAATATCTACTGAGTGAAGGAAGCGCTTATTTAGTACGAACTGCGTAAACGATATTTTGAAAAAACGAAAATTAATTTTTTGTCACCTCATCCTCGTCGACTTCACTGCCTGTGGCTTGGGGACCGCCGAAGCGGAGTGGTGAATCCCACGACATATCTGCTTGAAAAAAGAAATGAAGTTCGATTCTCAAAAGTAACATCAATGGTATCGTTTTCGGTCAGATAGGATTTCGAGTTCTTGACATGGCATTTATTATCAGAAATGGCGTCATTGCCTCATGGTCTTTTGCAACCGCGTAAAGGTTCAATTCTTAGGTCTGTTTAGCCAATGAGGATCACTCAATCGATGAAAATCGACGTCTGAAAGTTGGGCTCATTCAAAAGCTTCATGGGTGAATCTCCTCGACTCTGGGACGATTTTTGAAAGACTGATCGATATCCCTAGGAGTGCCTATAGGCATTGGAGTAGGAGCTCAAATATAATCGACAAAAAAGCCTGCTAACGGCTAACCTGATTTCCCAATTAATACAGTTGTTGGGCTTATACTATATAGCTATGTCGTTTTGATTAAGGGCAGGGGAGCCTAAAAATGTGAGCGTACTGAAAGCGGGGGACCCCAAGTCGACGGTGCCCTCCATGAAAGTTGATTGTTACCGGTAAGTAATAAGAGACAGTGCTGAGCGATGCGGATATCAAGGAGTGAATGACAAAGCGAAGATAACTGATGAAACAAATGGGATATCCCACAATCGTGGATAGACGGAAAGACAGTGTGGAAATGAAGGAAAGCGACGTTTCAGCGAGGGAGCGCTAACGACAAGTGTGTTGACATTACACCGGCATACCTGAAAAATAGGTCCTCGCGCACGGCTCTTCATCATCGAGCAGGGATCGGGCAGGATGGAGTACTTACATGCCTGAACATCTTCTGGAAGAGAAGTTCACGATTTCGAAACAAGCTCTCAGAAGTTTTCAAGGAGCGTAGGATTCGTTATGTAGAGGGGGGGGGGTCACCAAGTAGCTTGGCTTTTTCATTCCTGAACCGATAATTCTACAAATGGGTACAATGGATGGTAGAAAGATGAGGAAACTGATGCAGGCTGAGTGGGGCCAAATAGCTCCATGACTGGGTTCTGCATCGATAAGCGTTCAGGGTTGATCATAGCCTTGTTTCCCCGACCACAGGCGGTTGGCACCAACTAGTCGGGAAGGTGCACCCATTTGTACTGAGCTTGCCCTCGGAATCCACTGCGGATTCCATATCCACATTCAAATGGCTTTGCAGTTCCGAATGAATTTCGGACTGCAGGGCCATACCATAGGCGTGTGGTCTGGGAACGTCGTCATATCCTTTTACTGAGGAGAATTGTCTCGCCCAAAGCAACTCTCATAGGGGCGCCAGTATAGTTATAGCCCGACCATAAGTGATGTCAGAAACTCGAGTCAGTTTCCACTTTCCATCAAGCACGCGTAGCTAAGTTGTATGTCCAGAAACCGGACCTATTGACTCCCATAGACGCTCTCAGTCGAAAAATAAAGTCAAAACAACTTGCTCTTATTCGAATGGTAATTGCAAATTATGTTATTATATTTATTGTTTTATTTATTGTTTATGTTTGTTATAGTACTTATTATGATAAATTTCAAGGCCTGTTTGTTATTTAAACCCCACTAAAATCAGGTGACGAAGTTGAACTACGTGCAAAAATTGCTACCGTATCAAATCTTTTTTTTGACAAGCACTTGACTCGCTGATAAATCAACATTTTATTCGACAGTATGACATTTATTGACAATAGAACGAGGTTTACAACACGGAGTGATACATTAAGACCTAAGAGATCGATTTAATACAAAACACATATACAAATACACATACAAATTGAATATCATACATAAAAGTTTTTTTTAGATACAAATTAAATAATCAGTCAATATTGAAATACCCGTCAAAGAAAAAAAAAGAACAGAGAACATTCACCATATTACCCGTGAACATTTAGAAACATCATTGAGCTATGGTTCAGAGAAATAGGGGAGAGGAGGTCTTTTTGTATAGCATCAGGGGGTTTACTAACTTTGGTAAACATAATTCGAAAATCAAAATATGGGATATCGAAAAGTTAGGGCGAGTGGAAAGCGTATAATTGCACTGCAAAATGGGCGGAGTTTGCTAAGTTAGTCACTATTCTCTATTCCTCGTTGTTAAAATTTATGAAAGGTAAGTATGTCCGCTATGATTATGTTCACAGAGGAACTCGTCCATAGGGGGCGAGGAATTGCATGGCCTACGGTCCTATGGTCACGCCCATCTATGGCTAGTGCTCTATTGAAATGCCTACAACTGGCCTCACAGTTGTCCACAATATGGAGGGTTTTGAGGAATATAATCGGATGAATAGCCATACTGATGATAGTAATTGGCTGGAGTAGCGTAGAAGTTGTTGTAGATGGAATAGTTGGCCGTCGGAAGCTGGTACCATGCTGCAATCGATTTATTGATCAAACTTGAACTCTTGTCGAAGACCGAATGGGGCTCACCTGCTGTAGCTGACGGAGGACAACCGGGCTGATAGCCGCTTTCAACGTATTTCTGATCGTCCTTGGTTGGATATTTGGCTTCTGTCTCTGACTTGAAGTCAATGGTTCCAGGTATGGGAATCGGTTTGAATTCTGCCATTGTAGGCTCTGGTGGTGGCGTCTCCGTCGAAGATGATCTGAATAATTTATCATCAACTTTTCATTAACGTGGGAGATCCATTTTAATGCCAACTCCGCCCACAGAATGCCGAGCTGTTCGGTGATTCCTAAGCAAAAGGTGGCTTAGGGAGTGTTCAAGTCCCCGCAACAGTACCCGTTGTACCATTCCATTCCTTTCGAGCGATAGCACCTCGTGCGGCTTTTGAAAACGTATTGGGGACGAGCTTACTACCCTGATCCATCCCAGGAAGCCTCCATGATTTCGATGTCACGGGGCATATGATGTGTTGAGCATGACGTCGCCGTGACGTAATATGATGTTTACTTTGTTGATTAGGTAACGAGTAAAAAGGTACCCTGGTGGGATCTTCTTGTTATTCTGCAATTGGTGGGTTTTCTTCAGTTGCCGGTCCTTTGCTCGCCTGTTCTTGAACCAGATCTGAAGTAGAGAATCGATAAACGAATTGATTCACATTTTACTCGATTGAAAAAAAATTTCGTAGTAATAAGTTGAAGTGTGTAATAAGGAGTCATGAGGGGTACACTTAAGCATTTCGTGTTGAGATGACAATTTTTTGTTGAATTCTTAATGATTATACAAATCGGCAGCCCTGCCATCCGCACTTTTTATGACTTCCGAGGTTTCAATCTCGGGCCATGGTATGGGACCTTGCGGAACTGACCTTGGTGCTCTTCATAACCACTGACGAAAAGCGGAGGAAAAATAAAAGATTTGTATTTTTGAATTTACAAGCTAGCATTTAGTCTTACTTTACTAACACATTTCATAAGAAGCTTGAAAGTTCTCTTTCTACTACGTAGATACTTGCTACTTTGATCAGTTCGGTTATGAAGGCACTGTGGTTCATCATACATCCCTTACGTCATGCTCGTTCATCTGCATGTAATGCTGTAAGATCTGAATCTATCCTTGTCGTAGGAGCAGAACATCAGGTAATTGTCCTCTCCAGCTAGTAAGCAGGCGCAAAGTAGCTCGGGCATTACAAAAGACTAGGTGAAACCGATGAAACAGCCGATGAAGTTATGGCAAATGTTTTCCCGAAATTTTAAAAAAATTTGTAGATTCCTTTTTATTCTGTTAGCATCGCAATAACCTCTGGAGGGTGCCAGAAAATTTCGAACAGTCTCAGAGGAACAACTGGAAACCGGCGAGGAAACCTCTCTGCACTGACGAAGAGGTTAGGGGTGAGGCTCAACCCATACCGAAAGTGATGATAACTAGTAGAAAATGAGCCTTATAGGACTGTGGTAGGGTCCTAGCAAGACATCTTCTGAAATGGTGATATTTTAGAAAGATCCATTGTGTTTTCTCCAGACCCTTTGCGCTGATCTTCAATTCAAGGTGATGATGTGAGTATCACAAAAAAAGTTGCTGTGTTAAAAACCCATTGTTGGACTCTTTCTTTTATGTGAGTGAGTACGAATGACGTTTTTAGGTCAGTTTTATAGGGCCTATGACCATAGGAGACTGGTTACGGACATATTCTATATCTTTTTCACCATCGGAACTAATGGGTGAGTGCAACTAGCCAGCCGTGTAACCGGGGGTAATTTATCAAATTATCATTGCATCCATCTGAATCTGATGAGAAGATCTACAACAGCTTACCTTCCACCTCCTAATGATGTCTCTACATAAACATAGATAATCTACATAAATTGGCCTCAGGTACCAATGAAGGCCAATATCTCCTAAAATGGATGAAGAAATAGGCTAAGACTCAAAAGTCACTATTGCAAAGCTAGAAGTTAGCTCAGACATCAGGAATAGGCCAATATTCTTCCAAATTGAGTATGCAGTGGAAACCGCTCAATTGGGAAATTGCTCAATTTTGCCGATGAGGGTAACGTAAAAGTTAGGGAACTCCGTGGGAATGTGCCTTAAGCCCAGCTTTTTTTTTTGCTTTGACAGTGGCGACTACTACGATAGGGTAAAACAAACTTCATTCTTCTTGGCTATTCTCAGGAGTTCTAGGATTATCAGAGGATTGAAGCAATACCTATGACTTTGGAATCAATTCTTTTACAGCTGTATGAAGAAAATGAAGGAGGCTGCTATGGAAGTCACTCATTACCTGAACTCGAACTTCTTGTAGATTAATAGCTCGGGCTATTTCTTCTCGTTTGTATAGATCTGGATAGTGGGTCTCACGGAAAACCCTTTCCAAATGCTCCAATTGAAGTCGGCTGAACGACGTCCGCTCTCGGCGACCACTTCGACGTCCATTATCGCTGAAAACAGTTACACCTATTCGGTTGAAGAGGATGATAAAAGGATTCCTGTCCACATGTAACAATTCCGGTTTCCAATTAGCAGTGGACCTGCCTTGGTGGATGAAGTTCTATCGGAAGTTTTGCTACATCTATCCCTTCTCGTGAGTTCTTTTGGAGTGAATTTGAAGATTTACTGTTGGGTTGGAGATGTAGTCCAACACTCCTCAAATGCTGCTCCCCAAATATTGTGCTCAGATGAATGGAAAGGATTCAGTGGATTCACATTGAGGAAAGCTCATGTAGAGCTTCATCCTTTAGATACTGGGACCCCTTGGAAAGAGCACCAATCACGCTCGGCCCCTCAGGTTTTTACGGTCTTCTCAGCACCACAGTGAACTTGAGTATCATCCTGCCCATTCCTTTCATCCGCTTTCCAATTAATTCATATCCAAGCGTCAGTTTGCTCTCATGGCGCATAACTTGGGTTTTTTGCAAAACTCAGGATGAGTCCTTGGAGCAGCACAGGCAAAAAAAGCCTTTGATCCAATGAAATGATGGCCTCATGACGCTGCTTAGACTTTTGAAAGTTCCGACTCAAAAAATTTTTGGGTACTTGCCACTCCCGTCTTATTGAACTCATATCAAGTGATTGATGGCCTTGCTCTTGGGAAAACTGAATTCACTCGGAGTTGGTTAGTTCTGGAAAGGTTTTTAGCCTTTTTTTTCAAATCAAAAACGTGTATCATGGGGAAAATATTCGGTGTGGTCGCTCTCGTTCAACATGGAAGGCGGCGTATGCTTTTCGTGTTGGCTTTTTAATCCGTCCAAGTGTTTCCAATGCATAAGGGGACTAGCATTGTGGCAAAAGATGCCGCTACTGTCACCTGCACAAAAGGATTAACAGACCTAAGTGCTTGGAGGTCAGTATGGGACGGGAGGAGACGACGCGGGTCTCATTCCCGACAATTTTTGGCTGCACGGAGCAAAACTTGGACCCTGAGCTGATAATATTGAGAGAGGTTGGCTATAAGCGATACAGTGACA